GAACCGTATAGGTGCCCACCGGGCCGCCGGGTTCCACGGGCCGGATCGCACTGCACGTGCTGGATCCGCACTTACCGCATAGAGCAAGTCATGCGTGGGAATGGACTATACAGTAGTATTAGTCAGTGTCTCTCAGATGTATATAAGACCCACCAGTAGCATAGCTCTCTCTTCAGTTCCTTCACCACAAAGTAACTTGTGTGCCTCAAGTATCCAACCTTCAAGCAGGTAAGTTAGAGCGCGGTCCACTACGTGTGACCTAGTCTGCTCAACAGTACCTATAATCATCGAGCCTGCCAGGTGCTCCGGCTTGCTCTCGTTGTCGAACCCTTCCTTCTCCCTTTCTGTCTGCTCATAATCCCTATCCTCCTTACGCCCTCCTCGCTCCGCGTTCTCCGTGGTCCGCTCAGTCTTGCTGCTCAGCGCTAGACCTAACACGTGTCATTCAAGTCCTGGTCGCGCGGCTGGGTTGCGTGTCGCCAGAGCCACGGTAGGAGTCGCCAGAGTCACTAGACCCAAGAGAGAGGCCACCCAAGTCGAGTCACGAGACGAGAGGGGAGAGGTGAGGAGCCGGGGAGGAAGGAAGTAGTGATCTGGTACCGCGAGGTGCCAGGTCGTCGGTTGCCGTTGACTGAACCGGCGGCAGGTCAGCCAGCCAGTCGCGGATGCAAGTTTGCCTTCGCGTTGGGACGGCGCGTGCTTCTGGTTTGCCAGACGGGTGCGTGCGGTGGCTGCCCAGAGAGCGGGAGTGGTCGAGGACAACGAGGAGGCGGTGGCGGTGGCGGTCGCACGCAGTGCGGTGGGCGCTAAAACTTGGGGCGCAATGTATGGATTAATCCTTACCTTTTCGTCCGCGCGAATTTGTACTGTTCCGGTGGTAGACAGATTCACGAATACATTGATATAACACTAAGAATTCACTACCTTTGACACTTATCAACAAACAGAGATTGGTATCAATTGTGTACAGTACCTCGTTGCGGCCTCTCCAGATCACTACTGCGCCATGCGTAGGCGACCAGACGTTTGTGGATGTAGCAATAGGTAGATTTAAACGAAATGATTATTGCTCAACCACCCGTTGTGTCTATCAAAGGTCAAGAGCAAGCTTGAGCTGTCAAGCGATAGACTGCCGGCGGATTGGCGAAGCGGTTGGGAAGCTCCCGATTGACGGCTAGACAATGCGTGTATAGGCTGCGGAGCGGAGGTTACAGACATAAGTACAAACACTTCTACGCTTTCATAATCGTACAGTACGGACAGACGAGCGACTCGAGAGCAGGGATAGGCGAGAGCATGGATAGCGAGATTGATAATGATGTTGACAGCAATAAAATAGACGTACTTGAGGACCTACAATTAACGTACCTCACGGAGACTCGACAAGTGTTTCCTTCGCGATCTGGCGAAGAGCTGAGAGTGAGGTGTCCCTCCCTAGTCTCCCTGCTCCTCATCAGACACATCCATATACATAGTCGAGCTCCCTTCACCGCGGTCCTCGTCATTGTCAGCCATGCGTGCGGTCGAGCCCCCGTCGCCGCGAGGTACGCCCGCTGTAGGACACGGGCACCGAGGGCCCTTTCTAGTAGGGCCTCCAATGCTTTTCTTCTGGTGGCCCGCCGCAGAGAGCGCATTGTTCACACGCCTCCGATTCTGAAGGCGGGTTAGGCTTTCGTCCAAGGCCGCCCCCATGTTCAGACCCTTCGCGGTCACCATGAGGTGCGTAGGGCAGGGATCTGGCTTGTCACCTGCCAGATGCGTACGGCCTTGCAACGGAATGACTACGCCGTTGTATGCGTTGAGACAGTATAGAGCCGTGTAACGCGCACCGTTTACTGCGCCTGTAATCAATTCGTCGATGAAGCTCTCGACATCCTCGAGTGTAATAGGCTTGTTCGTCAAAGTGGGCCAGTAGACTTTTCTGAAGTAATCTTGATCTTCGTCTGACGCCTTGTGTACGGCCGGCCACCACAAGTCTTTGGACTGCTTGAGCTGCATCACCTCCGCCATAGCGCAAACCTGGTTGTCGAGGGCCTGGCGAAGGCCCTCAAGGAACTTGGCGTGTTGATGTTTGAGCTGGGCGGTGTTGTAGTCGCGCTTGACAGGCTTGTGTTGTATAGTCAGTTGATCGTGTCAGTGTTTACAAGACGAAGACTCACGATGGCTATACCCTGCTCAACCCACATCTCAAGGGGCCACTGATTATTGATGCCTTTTTTCAATGTACGCATCTGCCTGGTGCTCTGTGGGTCCACGTTGAACAGGTGCATGTCTATCGCCCCGCAGAACATGTGGCCTCCCGCACTCCAAGGCCCTATGCCGGGTATGACCCACCGTGGTCCAAGAGCTGCTGCGCGTATCGCTGGTCGTCGTAGGCCAGGTCACTTTCCCGCACGTTCAAGCCTTTGTCGGGGGAGTGATAGGGCGGGTATTCCTCAGCATTGATGCAGAACAGGAATGACATTTGTATCTCTTTAGTGTTCAGGATGTGCTGTCGCCCGGCGTGGTAGAGCTGTGGAACTCCTCGTGTTAGCACTGTAATAGACAGGAATGTCAGCCTGCACGTACTCACCTTACGCAAAGCTTTCCGGAAATCCTGAGACTTCAACACCTCCAGTAGGCCCATCGGGTACGTTCCAGCCGTCATCACCAGGCTGACGACGGAGTCCGGAACTGTGACCTGTTCGGTCTCCCCAGGAACAGGGTGATGGGGCGCCAGTTGCAAGACCGCAGTAAAGATTTGGTGCAGGAACTGGGGCGGCACGTAGATGCCCACTTTCCTCCTGACCAAATTAACGAACGCGTGTATCATGTCCTCGTGAAGAAAGAACGGCGAGCTCATGTTGAGAGTGCACGCCTCTTGATCATAATAGTACCTATAGTGACGTGCTTCAGCAGTTGAGATGAGAAACCCTACCCTAGCGCACGCACTTGACAAAGATCAACTGCGGATGCTCCTCCTTGATTGTTAGCTGCAGCTGCTCCCAATCCTCCTTCGTAAAGTCCTTGACTAGCTGTGTAGACATGATGTTAGAGGAGTACTACACTGAGAAACGGAAGATGAGACGCACCCAATCGATGTCGCGAATGTACGGAAAACCGGGAGCTGAGACCAAGTTACCGAAGGCCTTGTGGACCACAGCTGGATAGGTTAGTTGATGTTGCTCGACTGCGTCCTTGTTCTCCTCGACCTTGCGATCAATTATGTCTAAGATGGCGGGTCGGGTGAGGCGTCCGATAGACGGTGATTCCAAGGTCGTTTACTTACCAGGGTCCCTAGACTTCTGGCGGCCAGAAGGATGGGCGACTGGCCCAAGTTGATCAGTTTGCTGTACCCTCACAATGTAGGCTATGGTTCTCACCTTGTGTGGGGCAATTGTAAATGTTGTCCGCTTCAATCTGGTAGAGAGCGCGATCTTCAGGTCTCTGAACAGTACCCTTGTGTGAGTTGCTGTCCCCTCTACCTCTCATGCGAGAGTGGGAACGAGAGGGGAGGGACGAGCAGACGGTGCACGCTGCCGTACGATGCGAGACATGGACATCGATGTGTACGGGGAGCCTACAATAGTAGTGTATGAAGCTCGACTGGCAGAGAACCCTGGCTGCCTCATTTGCCTCGTATGCTGAGTCACTGACCCACGTGACCACAGGTACAGCAGCCGGGGTCCCCCCCTTCAGAGGTACGCTCCATGCGCAGCCCCCTATTCCTTACCTCGAGTAGGCCCAGCTGCCCTGAGCAGGTCTAGGACGCCCGCTGTGCACACGTCAGATGCTGGCGCCTTCCGCGTCGGCTCACCGAGTTGCGATACACTCGGACATCGTTTCAAAGTACGTACCCCGCCTCTAATTGCTCGCAGCCAGGGCCGGCATTAGTGGGGGACATGCGCAGCCATTTCCCATGCCACCGCCTCCATCGCTTCGGTGGTTTTACGCCCAGGGTGGTACAGGGCATGTGGTACGTAGTATAGAGACCCAAGCTGCTTTAAGTACTCACCGACTTAATATCTGCGTTCAATACACACGAATTCACACCAATACAACTGTGTGATCTGCCTGCGCAAGACTGTCTGGTCAACGGAGCAATGTTGGTTAAAGAAGACTCACCGTGGCTCGCAAAGGGTCCTCTTTTTTATCTCTAGGTTTCTTACGAGGTCGCAGTCAAGAGGAGCGTGGTAAAGCGCCGAGTAGGGGCGCGATCGCTGCCATATGCGCTCGTATTCACGTGCCCGTAGTGCATAGCGTGGGTGTACCCATGGGTGTCTCAGAGCATACCCATACCCATACCCACATGGGTTGCATACCCATGCCATGGGTATGGGTTTTGCATGGGTATTCTGAGTACCCATGGGTATGGGTAATGTTATGGGTAGTCCTATGTGCAGTTCATGCTCAATGGCTTGCAAGATATGATGACACTTATTGTGCAGAGGCCAGAATATCAATCAGGCACTGTACAGTTGGTGAATTCTCATCATAAATTGATGCTATGTGCAAGACCAAGGATGAGCACCCCTCAGACCAGTTCACTGACTGTGTGGTCAATCACAACAGTGGGAGTTTCCAGTTTTTGTCCCACATACATGCAAGAACAATAGAAAAATGAGTGGGTATGGGAGGGGTCAAAGGTTCCCAGTGTATCAAAGTCAAACATAGCAATACTGTAACGGATATTCCCGTTACAGTATATCTTACATTACATATTTGTCCTTGTTGCTCCAGGACTCGTATGGCGCGCCGGCGCACCTACGAGTCCTCAGCCTTTTACCTCGTCACCGCCTTTGTATGCACTCTGTAGACAGTACCTCTTGAATAGAGACTGGGTGCAGCGCATACGAGGCACGACGAGTGAGGCGCCATTACACTTTTTTGCGCTCCAGAAAAGCTTCTATCTCTCTGGGGACTATCTACTCTAGGCAACAAACTCTCGAACCTCGAAATTCGACATCAACAAACTCTATGCTACTTTGATCATCCTCTGGCCAACTCGACAACTCGACAAGATGTCCGAGTCGACCAACACCCCGTCCGCACCTTCGCGAGGCAGCCGCGGGTCCCACAGTGGAACCCGCAGCAAGCTGAAGGCGTTGCGTGCGGAAGTCCGAGCAAAGCTCGCCGCAAGTCAAGAGCGGATCAACAAAGCCCTCGAGGAATCCAAGCAACTCGAGGCCGAACTGCTGGCAACGGTCGACGCCGCTCTGTCCGAGGCCAGCAGCTGCAGTCGGTCTTCTCGCACGAAGACCACCCGGACTGAGTCTTATCACCGCGAGGACTCAGCCGGAGCCCTCACAGAGCAGGCGCCGTCCGACCGTGAGGTCGAACAGGCACCGCGCACTGAGCGGCTCGAGCCCAATGTCGAGCCCGCTCAAAACCGCCCGGAGACCGACTCTCCACCTGCTTCGACCCAGCCGATGAAGCTCGGCACCACTCTGAGGAGTGGTGAGCGCGCCGAGCTCGACAAAGTAGCCGTAGTCGAGCTCGTGCCTGGATTGAACGAGCAGCGCCAGGAGCTGACTCGTATCAGCACCCGGGAGGGCATAGGCACACAGTACTACAGTAGTACTGTGTGCAGTGGGAACGAGCCCACGCGTGTAGATACGCTCGTCGCGTGTTCAGAGATGAGCCGCGACACAAAATATATATATTCGTCGTCGAACGCCGTGCGCGCCACGACGAGCAGCCTGCTCGACGCGACGCGCGACGCGCTCAACGCTACAGGCGTCGAGCGCCACGAGTCTGTGGTGAGCGCCCCGAGTTCTAGCGCCCACCGCACTACGCTCGACCGCCACCACCGACCCCTCGTCCTCGCCTCCTCCCACTCTCTGGGCAGCCACCTCGAGCGCCCGTCTGGCGAACCAGACGCGCGCGCCGCCCGACGCGAGTGCGAACTCGCGTTCGCGAATGGCTGGCTGACTTACCGCCAGTCCAGTCAGTGGCGACCGACGACCTGGTACCTCCCGGTACCAGATCGCCAATTCCTCCCTCACCGGCTCCTCAACTCTCCCTTCTGGTCCCGCGCCTCGACTTGGGAGGTCCCCTCTTCGAGTCCGATGACTCTGGCGACCGTCACAGCGGCTCTGGCGACACGCAACCCAGCCGCATGACCCAGGACTTGAACGACACGCGTTCAAGTCCAACGCCGAGCCGCAAGACTGAGCGGACCATGGACAACGCGGAGCAAGGAGAGTGGAAGGAGGACAGGGGGCAGAGGAGTAGCGAGGTTGAGGAAGGAACACAGGGACAGAGGGAGGAAGGGTGCGGGGCGAGCAGGATGCACGAGCACGAAGGCTCGACAACCACAGGCACGTACTCACCGTACGTCCCTGCATCGCCGCCTCCGCTTCCAGTGCCCGCGCCAGCACGCGTAACGACGGACGAGAGGTTCGTCGTGCGTCCTATTGACCACGAAGACGGCACTTCCGCCTCCAGGTATGACTGCGAAGTCGTACCAGATGTTTCGCGGGATAGCACGTCTGTGCTACGGGACGACCTCGCGGTCGTACCCTCCAATCTCCGAGGCAGTACGCCCAGGATACGGGACGACCTCGTGGTCGTACCGTCCATCTCGCAAAGCGACACGGCGGACGCGCAGCAGTGCACGTCCGACGTGTCCCATTCATCCATCACCGACCGATGGATAGCGAGTACGCCGAGATTGATGCTCGACGTACACGCTACCGACCAGCATAAAGGGTCGAGAACTGAAGGTACGCCCCTGATGGACGTACCCACCTCGATACCTCCTACCTTGCCCGCATCCGCACCAACAAGCGTAGCGACGAACGTTCAGTTCGTCGTACGCGTTGTTGGTCATGAAGACGGTGCGTCTGCGCTACGGGACGACCCAACGGTCGTGCCTCCCATTCTGCAAGGCAGAGCGCATGCGGTAGGAGACGACCTTGCGGTTGTACCTCCTAATTCGCGAGGCAGCACGACGGACCTGCAGCGATGCATGTCCGAAGTGCTCTACTCAGCTTCGACCGTCCATTGTGCAGCGCGTACGCCTAGCCTACGCTAGACGTACCCGGTGGCTATGACCACTGCGCGTCGACCGTCCCTGACCCTTCGTCTGGCAGGCCCATCGCTCGACCAACTGCGACGCCACACGGCCTGCACGTCCTCACGGAAGTGCAGGCCCCCAGTTGCTCCGATGTAGCTGAACCTCCTGAGGTTCAGCTGGCCAGGTCGTGGGACGACCTCGACGACATCTCCAGCAGCCCCCAATCGCGCGCAGCCGACCTCCGAGAAGACTTGCACTCCCAACCGGAAGTACAAGCCCCCGGTAGTTCCAAGACAGCTGAACATCTCGCGGTTCAGCTGACAGGTCCACGATACAACCCCGACCGACTCGACGAAGCGGCGGACCTCGGCCTCGACTTCGACCTCGACCTCTCCAGCAACAGCATCCACCGCTCTCTCCGCGATCTTGGTGCCCCGACGAGCGCGCTGCCCGACGATCGCGTATTCCCGAGCAACGCGCGAGCTCGAGATCGCGACCCGACTACTGCACTACCAACAGTGCAGCGGCCGGCGCTTACGAACCCCGACCGACTAGAACGGCCTCCCGACCGTCAACCCGGCGAGAACTTCACAGTTCTCGTCGATGGCTCGCTCCTAGGGACCCCCACCCAGCTTCATACCGACCTCTCCGCGGCCCCCGATATCGTTGGCGACAATGACAGGCACCGCAAGTCGGAGGTCGCCCGCGAACTCCGAAGAGCGCGTGAAGGACCGAAGGACGGTCAGGACGGGGACGAGGGCGATGTGGGTGAGGGCGAGGAATCACGAGAGGTAGATGAGGAAGGTCAGGCAGAAGGAGGAGAGGGGGAAGGGTGCAGGGCAAGAAGAGAAGATGAGCTCGTCGAGCGGGATAGCTCGACGACAGGTACGTCTTCTTTAGACGTATCTCTTCCTCCCCTACCACCATCTCCTATCCCACTACCACCACCTGTGACGACCACGACTACCAACACGGTTGTCGTGGCAGTTACCACGTACGATGGTGGTACGGATGGCCCATGGAGCGACCTACAGGTCGCACCTGGCCTGGCAATGCATTGCGATATAGTTGGCGAGCGAGGTTGCTCGACCGACGTGCCCAACGGTTGTACAGCTCACGCGCAGACGTACTACTTCGCGAACGAAGTTTATACCGAGGAGATCGGCGATGAGTCGAAAAGCGAGTACCTCACGGTACTCGTTCCGCCGTCACCACCTCCTGTGCCGATACCACCACCGGTGACGACCACGACAACCACATCGGTTGTCGTGGCATTCACCATGAAGGATAGTGGTACCGCCGATTCACGAGGCGATCTACAGGTCGCGCCCAGCACGGACCAGCATCGCAATCACGACGCACAGATGGTGAGCCCTACGCTCAACGGACGCGCCGCTGATGTCACCGGCGACCATACGTTCCACTCGCGACCTCCGTCATCGGTCCCATGCACTTCACTAGGGAATGACCTCAAGGTCGTTCCCGAGAGTGCATATCGCGGTGCACTCGGACTGCATGGTTGCAGTACCGAGGCACCCCTAACATCCGCATCCGACGCAGTACAGGCATCGACCTCGTTGGTCGATGCAAGTCATGCAGAGGATGTCACACGCGGACGCGACCCCTCCACTGCCAAGGGCGAGTACCATGAGGTACTCGCCAACTCACCCTTCCTAGTCACAGTGTCGCCGCCCTCTCACGCATCGAACACGACGGGCCCACCGATCGTCGTGAACAAATGTCAAGAGGGGATGGCGTCCGAGCCCAATTCCGTGGATCGCGAACTGTCGACCGAGACGTCTACCACAGTAGACGTACGGCAGGCCGCACCTGAGTCCGAAGGGCGACCGTCGGGACGCTACGTGCTACCGGCACGTCGCGTTCAGCAAGACCGACGTGAGCTGGCTGTATCCCTCGACAGCGAGCACCAGCCCAAGTACTGCGAAGTACCTGGAATTGGAACACCTAGCGAGAACGAATATTTGTTCTCGCGGGTGCGCAGCACGGCAGGCACCTCGAGTGAGGTGCCCGCGTCGACTAGCACGACGACGACGTCGCCGCGTACCCGATCAAGGAAGCGCTTCCGGGAACTGGTCGGAACGGAGGTGGGTGAATGGCAACGTTCACCTACTACTATCCATGGCATTGGGACCGAGTCGGGGCGAGTGCAGGGGAAATCGTCAACCACTACGAAGTGGGATGCTATTCTGAGAGGGGAAGGGAGCGGGGCCTCGAGTGGCCGCCGCCTATCTCACGCTACCACCAGTACATCGCGTGAAGAGGTACTGGTCTCGGATCCTGCAGTGACACGGACGCCAAGCATCGAGCTTGACGTACGGGCCTCACGTCGAACATCAAGGCAGGTACTACCTGTACCACGAGTGTCGAGCGATCGACTCGACGTGCAGCATACTAGTGATCATCGCAGCCACGACATCACCTTGGAAGCCAGTACCTCGCGCCGCGAAGTACTGGGATTGAACCGAGTACCGACTGCACGGGGTCACCCAGTGACTGTCGATGTGAGTCAATGGCCCATGGATAAGGCGTCGCGCGAGGAGTGCTTCACACTCCTTGCAGACCAACTCGACCTCGACCTCGATGAGGCTGATTTTGCGGCGAGTGTTGGCGAGTGGGACATTTGGGCTCACTGCAAGAGGTCAGCACTTAGCTGTGGGCATGCAATCGAGGAGATGTCCCCGCGACTGGGGACATATTCTGTGCAGCTCGTCGAGCATGGGACCACTTCCAGAGGGAGTTGGAAGTGGTTCCTCTCGAGTTCGATCCTCTGCTGGTTGCACCATTACCTATGGAGATGGTGCGATATTGGGCCTACAACAAGCTGGGATGGCTTGTTGTACCACCTCGCAGTCAACCTCAGGATGACTCCGACTGGTACAACTCCTCTGATGAGGAGCCTCGTACCACAACTCGTGAGGATTACTCTGACCATGTTGAGTCAGAGTCTCTCTCCGAGTCCGAGCATCATAGCTCGTGGGATTCTTCGAATCCAGGTTCTGGGGCAAACTCAGTAGTAGTCTCTGACTACTACGAGCAGTCCGAGATGGAGGATACCTACAGTTCTTCTGCACTATCTGCTGAAGACGAGGGTAACTCCGAAGATGCAGACTATTACTCGGAGTCCGAGTAGTAGTCTACATGCTGGTTGCACAACTCTGTCGAGTTGTGTATGACAATGGTGAACGGTCGTGTCTGCTCACTGACATGAAGTAGTTTGTCGCTGTCTACAGTTCAACATCATCTTTGTCTTGCCAATTGCTACCACCGTTGGGTGGTTGCATGTACTATTCCTTTCTTTCCTTTTTCTCTCTGTTTCTCTGGTTATCGCTGGGACCCGTGGTCGTGTCCAGTGGGGAGAGTGTAACGGATATTCCCGTTACAGTATATCTTACATTACATATTTGTCCTTGTTTGCTCCAGGACTCGTATGGCGCGCCGGCACACCTACGAGTCCTCAGCCTTTTACCTCGTCACCGCCTTTGTATGCACTCTGTAGACAGTACCTCTTGAATAGAGACTGGGTGCAGCGCATACGAGGCACGACGAGTGAGGCACCATTACAAATACACAGGGGTGTACCTTTTTCCAAGTTGTAGACCTGTAGTGTTGTTGCATGTCATGCTCACTTGTTATACTGCAATAGAATGGGCAAGTGTGTTGCCTGAAGTAAGAACTGAAGGGTAGGTAATACAGGATAGGCAAAGATGAACAACTGACAAAAAGGGAAAACAATGTAAACAAGGCACAAAGATCATGTAAGCAAGGTATGTATTACAACTCATAACTCTGGTGGTTACACAAGTGTGTCATAACAGTACAAATAGCTACACAGACCCACAAGAACTGAGGAATGAAACTAGCAAGGTTGTATACATCCATAGATCTTACATATTTTACCAAATATGAACAGTGAGGCAATGGGCAGAGCCTTATAACATGTGCTGTTTACATATAGCAGTATCACAGGTCAACAGTCAGCAGATGAATATACCTCAGACTCAACAACTACAAAACTGAATCACAGGAAAGATGTAGCAGCAATCATGCTGATTTCTTTTCCATCAGGATCCCTTGTCACAGGTGACTAACTAAGCATTACACAGTATTACCAGCTGTCTAATAAGGACAGCTTTAAAGTAAGTAGGATTCAGTATGGTCACATTGTTTGGTAGAGCATTCCAGCTACACCATACTGACAAACACATGGGACTGCAGTAGCCATCATTGTGCATTGAAAAGGTTAGTTGAGCTTTCTCCTAATTCTTCATTTGAGCCACAACAGCACATACACTGCAATGCACATTAGATATTTCATTTGCTTATTTGATGGCCTCAGCAATCTGTGTATTTGATTATAGCATATCAATATTGGCAAAAGCCATGTCATGCATGGTCAATGAGTCTTGAGGGAAAAATGACTGGTGACTTTACCATACTGCCACTATTGCAAAATACTCTCAAGCAAGCTTCAGAATGGTGACACCCTAAATGCTAGCATACTATGAGAGTGACACACACTGAATACCTGGCTAGGAATTAACATTGATTACTGCCAGTGGATAAGCACTGCAGAAGTCCATGGGTTTCATGGGTACATGGGTCAGATTTTGGCTACCCATACCCATACCCATGCATACCCATACCCATGACCCACATGGGTTACTCATACCCATGCAATGCACTAGGTATCAGGCTGTGTCTGCATTGTGGCTCAGCTCGATGCACGAGTGACAGGTCGGCTCATTGTTGTCGGCTGAGCCCGTTGCTTGGTTTTGGTTGTCGTGGTCGACATGGGTTGGGGGTAGATGGGGTAGATGGATAGCGCAGAGGTTGGATGAAGCGAGTTGACTGTCGAGAGTGAGAGTATGAGAGTAAGCGAGTATGGTCCTTCGAGTTAACAAAGATGGTAGCATAAAAAGATGTAAAGGTTAAAAGTCAATCTCACCTTGTTAATGAGAATAGTGCCTTAGCTGATGTGGCACTTGTATCATCCAAGGCTATAAGCATCTTGCCTGAATCATTCTGAATATTGTCTGATTTTCCACTTTTCCCCGGGTCTCAACAAGCCCCATTTGACCACAGTAACAGTCCACACCTACATCACTTACTAAGCGCCCAGATGCTGTTTGGAGGTGCATTGGTGCCAAATTTTGGGATGTGTGCATCTCCAAACAGCATGGGAGGGATGCTGGGCTGCTCTAATTGGCTCAGCAGGTGCTTTCCTGCCCTAATCACTAATCAGGCAGGCTGCCGAGGTTTTGGGCTGAGTTTGAATCTCAGCCACAAGCCAAAAATGCGTAAATATACAATATTCTGAT